CTTGAAATAATTATGATATAATTAGAAGAAATTTAGAATTAGGTGTAGAGACATGGGAACTTTGATTGGAATGCACGTGTCCACTTTATGTGAATGACATATGCATTAATTTATGTCACGTTGACAGTTAAAACAACAGCTATGTCAATGATATAGTCTATATAATTTATAAATGCTATTTCAGTATTTCGGAATTTATGAAATAAATGATTAATTTTTTAAATATATATTAATTTATAATTATTTTAAATCATTAAAAAACTAATATTATAAGACGATTTATTTTTTTAAAACCATCGGTATCTGATTTATTGATCGATTAATTCAGATCAGATACTGTAGAGACAAGAAAAGAACGATTCTCTCAATCTAGTTTACTCTATTTACAATGTCAGGGTTCGAACATCTTACTTTACTTAAGAGAATCAATTTAAGTGAGTATTATTAATAATATTATAATTTTTTAATAAACTATCACCATAGAACATTCAAAATGATATAAAAAAAGGATAAACTATGCATTTAGATATGAACTATCAGATTAGATCTATTTAGTATCTAAACTTTCAATTTTTTTAAATTATACCTAATATTCATTTTTTTTATTTTTTAGCATCATCGTTAAAAACTTAACGCATTCAGTTTTGGTATGTTTTAGTGCAGAAATTTTCATTTTTTTCCACATCTTACGTTAAATTTTTATACAAGTACTAAAATGAAAATAAACTAACTTTATGTATTTTTGAAAAAATAAAAGTTTAGGTACCAAAATGGATGAAAACTGATAGTTTAAACATTAAACACGTAATTTACCCAAATAAAAAAATAAAAGTTATTCCAATAGCTCTGGGTAGCCCAATTGGCTGTGAAGATGAACAAGTCACAAATGGAGTTTGTTAAATAAATGGTTTTGGTATAATTTCAAAGCATGTGTTAAAGAATTGTTTTCTTGCAACGTTAATTTTTGTAATCTAAAATAAAAATTTTATGTTATTTTATGGTATGCATTAATTTATAGGGTAAGTACACAATAGTTCTTCGACTATAAGATATTTCTTTGTTGAGTCCTCTAACTATTAAAAATTATAATATGATCCTCTTACTATAGGGTATTCCCTTGTTCAGCCCCCGTAACTATTAAAAGTTATAAAATAGTCATTCGACAATTCATTATATTCTAAACTTGTCATTTTTCGTTAAAGTTAATGGTAATCTGAGCTATATGTTAATATTAGATATGATAGTGTTTGAGACTCTGTGATCAAATTTTATTATATCTCAATCAACATGTTAACATTCATCTTAGATTGTCGTTAATTTTTAATGGAAATGACGAATTTAGAATATAATGAATAGTCGGGTGGTCATTTTATAAATTTAATAGTTGGGGCTCAAAAAGGAATACAATAAGACTCTGTGATCAATTTTATTATATCTCAATCAACATGTTAACATTCATCTTAGATTGTCGTTAATTTTAATGGAAATGACGAATTTAGAATATAATGAATAGTCGGGTGGTCATTTATAAATTTAATAGTTGGGGCTCAAAAGGAATACAATATAGTCGATGGACCATTGATAATTTTTTATAGTCAAAAGATCAACAAGTAATATCTTATAGTCGGGGGAAATTTATGTAATTGACCTAGTTTATATTACATAGATAATTTCATTGTTGTTTATTTGAATATATATATATATATATATATATATATTGCATTATTGCGTTTGATGTTATTGTAAAATTTATCATAATAATATATTTTAAAAATATTATTAATGCCTTTTAATTTTAGTTAGTCGATGGACCATTGATAATTTTTTATAGTCAAAAGATCAACAAATATCTTATAGTCGGGGAAATTTATGTAATTGACCTAGTTTATATTACATAGTAATTTATCATTGTTGTTTAATTTGAATATATATATATATATATATATATTGCATTATTGCGTTGATGTTATTGTAAAATTTATCATAATATATTTTAAAAAATATTATTAATGAACCCTTTTAATTTTAGTAGTATAAATTTTATACTTTAACAATTAGTTAGTAAATATATGTTAAGTTAACGTTACTTCGATTTTGTATCTACCAGTGGCGGATGCACTAAGCCCTCATAGGGACCAAGTGTATCCCATTATTTTGAAAAAATGTTAAATTAGTTTAATGTGTTAAGGAAAAAAGAAAAAAAATACAATTTTGTATATTCATTATTTTTAAGAAAAGAAAATTAAAATTTTGGACTCCCATTCTTAAATTTATGGATCCCCATTCTTAAATTTCTGGATCCGCCACCGATATCTACTTTAATATATTTTTATACATTTGTATTTATTTATTTTTCATATTTTGTACATAGTTCAATTTAGCGTCGATATAGATTTATGTTGGCAATAATTATTTAGTTTTATTTTAAGAGATATACTGGTTGGTTCAAAATATATTCCCAATAGTATTGTAACTAATCAACTTTTAAAAAATTGTTCTCTTTAAAAAGGACAAAACTACATTTATGGTACTAAATTTTAAAGAGATTTCATTTTGGTCATTTAACTTCTAAAATTTATAATATAATCACTAAACTTTTAATTTATTTTTATTATAGTCACTATTGTTAACGTGTTAAGAAAATTTGATATGGCACGTTGAAAATCCTAAACTTGTCTTTCTCCGAATTGAAAATTATCGACCCTCCTTTCTTCGTCATTTCTATCATCGTTGACGGTTTTCTCTTATTGAAAAAGATAACCAAACTGATCACTGTACATAGTGATCAAGCTTTCCAACAGTGCCAATAACAATGCTATTTTTTTCAGCTCCGGAGAACCAAAAGTAAAGTAATCCTAAATTTTGAGTTTTAACATGTTCTTTATCGAACCAAATTCGAATACCTAATAACATTTCATTTCATCAACCCAACTCTCCTATAAAAAATAATGCTCAAATTAAAATCAAATTTATATTACTCAGTCAAATATTCTCAATAAAATTATAACATAAGCTAGATGCTTAGATATATATTTAAACAACAATATGAGATGATACTTCTGCTATGTTTTGTTGTCTATGCATATGCATGAGATGAGGTGTGTCGAGGAAGCCCTTTCGATTGGTTTTGCTTTATTGGTTTTTAGTTTTTTTGTTTTGCTGGATGTATTGGTGTAATGTTCTGATGATGGATGTATTTGGGCAGCAGTGCTTGTTGTGTTCTCTTATGTAGCACTCTTTTCCTCCAATGTTTTAGGGAGGTTTTAATGAGGCTCATAAGGTGAACTTTTCTGCAATCAATTTAATAATTGAATTTTGCCGAGCAAAAAAAAACAATATGAGAGATATCATAATATATATTAATAAAATAACTTAAATATTAAAGATCTATTTAAATGTGAAACATATTTAAATATTAAAATAATAGGAACTAAAACATTTAATAAATTTAAACCCTAAATTAGTAGCAAACAAATTTAATAAACATACAACAATATGAAAAACTCTTTATTTTAGGGATAATTTTATCTAAAATAATAAAAATTGATAAATATCTAAGTAATGAGTGAGAATAAAATTCTCATGCATACTCCAGAAGAAAAACTTCCATTATTAATAATATTATTTTCCCTTTTGATGGGAATGAGACGTTAATTAAACCAAACTTAAATATGTGAAAAAATATCACTTCTAGTAATGATTTTTTTCCCTAACCAAACGTATACTTACATCAATAGTTGTTTTTATAAGATTTTAACTCAATTCAGATTTAAATTTTTTGAAATTTAAGGCACCTTTTTTAAATAATTTATTTACACTTATTTATATAATTATTTTTTGAAAAAAAATAAATCCTAAAATTAACATGTTATATTCTATCAAATATTTTTTTGTTAATTAAAAAAATAGGGTAAACTACACATTTAATATCTAAACTATCATTTTGACACGTTTTATTACTTAAACTTTCAATTTTTTTAAAATCATATCTAATGTTTAATTTCTGTTTCATTTTATTAGTATGCTATTAAAAACTTAACGCATTTAGTAAAACTACCGGTTTTGGACTGTTTTATCACCTAAACTTTCAAATTTTAACATTAAGTTTTAAATGAGTACAGAAATGAAATAAAACCTGAATTTTATGTATGTATTAAAAAAATAAAAATTTAGCTATTAAAACAGACAAAAACTTATAGTTTAGTTATGAAAAGCGTAATTTATAACACAAAGTAGGGTTAGGGCACATAAATGATTTTGAGGGTACATAAACATGTAATTACTAGCTTTTCAACACATATATTTAACAATTGCAAAAGAGTCCAAAAGGGTAAAGCAGATAGGGTTAGGGCACAGAAATGATTTTGAGAATACATAAACATAAGAAGGTAAATGCTGAGAATGAACGGTAAGACTAATGCATACATGCATCCATACATAACTAGAACCATACAAATTTAGAATCGAAATCCCAAACCCTAAAAATTTCAGTGCTGGATAAAGATTGGTCTGACATAAAAGAAAGAAGAATGAAATCAGTCTAGAAATATGGCAAAGCCTGCTGCTAGCTTCACCAGCTAGGTTCATGCAATTCAATTCAAATCTTGGTTCTAGCTAGAGCTGCAGTTGTGAGAAAAACAAAAGGAAAAAATAGTACCACTTCTTCATCATTTGATCAAATTAGTCCTCTTTTCCCAAACCCTTTTTATAAAAAGAAATTAGATATATTCTAACGTGACGTAATTGTTTTATACGATTTTTTCTGAGTTCGAAGCACTTTAGTTATGACTTAATGGGCATGAAAGGTTCTTAAAGGAAGAGAAACACCAAAGAAGGGTTTTCTTTTGCAAATAACCAAACCCTTTTGCATTTGCTCATTTATAGAAACAAAGGGTAATGTGTTATTACAATAAGTGCAAACCACTTCAAACAAGCCATTGAGAGCACACTTTCTCTCTCTATTATCTCTTCCTTATTTTTATCTTTCCCCCAAAAGCTGAATCTCTCTCACTTTTGATGGAGATATCAATCAGGCATTAAAGCTCCAAAATCAGCCTTGTAATCTTGAGATGTCCATGGACGATCAAATCATTCAACATCAAGCTCCTTTGCACCCAATTTGGCCATGCTTCCCTCTCCAGACTCCGTTCTCGACCGAGGTGCAGATACCAAGTGTAACGACTGCGTACACCGGTCACGGGGAGCAACTAGGTCACCTCGCCGCTGAGGGAGACGAGCCTGAGGAGGAGTTTGAGCGCCATGAGGAGATGTGTACAAGATCGCCGCGATGCAGCCGTCGACATCGACCCGTCGACGATCCGGAAACCTAAGCGGCGCAACGTGCGAATCAGCGAAGACCCCCAAAGCGTGGCGGCTCGTCACAGGCGGGAGAGGATAAGCGAGAAGATAAGGATCCTCAAAAGGCTCGTCCCGGGAGGGACTAAGATGGACACCGCGTCGATGCTGAACGAAGCCATCTGCTACGTCAAGTTCTTGAAGAGGCAGATCCTGCTGTTGCAACGATCCGATAACCAGCAGCAGCAACCGCCGCCACCGTGGCATGTTGCACCACCACCGGCGGAGACACATCCAGGCCACGGGGGAAAAACTTGTGCTTTAACCATGAGGTAAATCAGTGATATTACCTCCATAATCCCTGAATTAATCAACATATAACTGCTGTATTAATGATAATATTAGCCAAAAACTATCAAACAAGGTGTGTATATATAATTATATATATCATATATTATGAAAACTTAACCTAGTTAGTCCGATCATCAAGAACAATAAATTCTGGATTCGAATCTTAACATTATTTTCTAAGGGGAGCGATGGAGTGTTGGTGAAAAAGAGGGTTTGTTAGGATTTTGTTGACTGCAAGATGGAATAATGATAACGGTTATATATATATATATAGTACAAAAAAGTCTAAATTGGCCGGAAAAGTTTCTTGGCCGACTCTCTTTCCCGGAATGAAGAGGTGACGTGAGAAAGCCATGAAATCATTGTTCTTTCCATCCTCTTTCTGCATATAATATATAGTTTTATTCTTCTCCATCACCACATGTATCTGCAAAGTTTGCATTATATATATATCCTCATTGCTGAATTAAATAATATTAGAGTAAATTATTGTCTTAGATTTAAGTAAAAGATGATTCCTTCGTAAGTAACATGAACAATACAAAGATATATATAGCCCGAAACGTAAGGTAAAAGTGACGTAAATAAAAACTTGAGCTTCGTGATCCATTAGTAAAAATGGGATGGAATTTACATGCAATGTTAAAACATATTAAATTTCTAAAAATCGAATTTAAAGTTGGGAGATATAAGTAAAAAAATAGATAAAGATATTTTAGTTATAGAAAAGTGAATTTGGCCGGAACTGAGTGATTTTAGTAGTTAAAGGGATGACTGTTATCTTTAAAGGTCTTGAGTTCAAGCACGACTCTTATATTATTTGAACCTTCTTTGTTAATTGATTGAGATATTAGAACATATACGACTTGTGATTACCCAAAATAATTTGATGAGTTTTTATATGTTTTAAGATTTATTTGATATAATGTTGAATGATGATATTCTTGATAATAAGGGGATTTATATGTTATTTTATTTTATTTTGTCACTCTAATTTAGATATAATTGTGACAAATTTAAAGTTCATCACAAATAATTTCACTAATAGTGTTTTATTGTGACCAAAACAAGTTATCATATCAATTGGTTACTAATAGAATGGTCGAATTGGCACCAACTTATTTTTCACGAAAAAATTGTAATAGTGATAATATATTACGTAATCATTGTTATATTCATGTTGATGAAATATTTTCACTAGTTTTAGTTGGTAATTTCTACGATAATTATTTTTGTCACTAGTCTTAGTTGGCTTTTGTGATGATAATGTTTTGTCACTAATCTTTGTTGATAGTATGCGACGACAATAATTTTTATCACTGTTGAAGTGAATAGTTGTGTCCTACTTGTATTTAGTTACTAATAAAATGTTTGAATTGACATTGCATTTTTTTAAACAAGAAACAATTTAATAGTTATAACATATTAAGTGGTCACTATTATTATTCATAATTGTGACAATAACATTTTTTTACTAATAAGTTTACCTTTTATAATGGTATAGTTGTGATAATCTTAAATTACGTCACAAGTATTGTAATAACTATAATGATTAAATTTTTCCTGCAATTAAATTCTCACTAAGTATATAATTGTGATACAAAGTTCGTCCGTCACAAAAAATTTGACACTATTAGAAGACACAAATTGACACACTTATTTCCTTGTCGAGAAATAATATGATAGGGCGATATATAAAGTGATCACTATTATTTGATATTTATTGTAACAATGAAGCTGATTGTCACTTAAAATTTTACTTTTTGTTGTGATAAATATTGACATCAATAATAATTAAAATTATTGTTAAGATAAACTAGTTTGTCAAGTGGTAAAATTTTGTTATTAGTCTTATGCTCTAATTTAATCAATTTTAGTTTGTATACATTTTCAAATTTCAAATTTCAATAACCATTCAAATTATACAATGACTATATGAATAATAAATGACTAATAAAATTACCTTAACCTTAACATATATTGTTTTATATTATTATAAATTTTATTTTTATTAACGAAATAAATGACTGACAGTACTATAAGCTTGACAGTGTCATTTAATCATTATTCAATATATTTTTTCTTAAAAATAATGGAATAATTTTTATATGTAATTTATGATCTTTATGGAGATATATGTGAATTTTGCAGACATTAGTTAACTATGAGCACTTTGCTTTTTTTTATTTTTTTTATTTAGGACATTCGCTACAAATGGTTACTACATTGTCAAATATATTTCTTTTTTAAATATAATTTAAGAACACTTGATATTATTTTAGATTTAAATCTTAATATTTATATGATTATATTTTAAAATAAACCTAATTATATTTATATTTATCTTCCACAAACATAAGGTATTTCATAGGAGAAATCATAGAAAATTTAATTAAATTATTATACTAATAATTAATATATATATATATATATTAAATAAATAAAATAACTTCAACAATAGTTTAACATAAATATTTTTTTGTCAATAACATATACTTCTTTCTCAAACACTGACTAGGCGTTGCATTATTTCCTTGAAGGACCCCGGTTTGATCATCTCAAAAGTCATTTACTGTATTAATTTATCAAAAAGTAACATGTTAAACCAACAAGCAGATGGTATAGCGAGATGAAACACTAGACTTGTTAAGCAAATTGGGTTACTCGATTTGAAATCAAATATTGGTGGTTATACAAAAAATTAAATATGTGGAGATGTCACGTCATCTATCTTCAATGAAAATGTTACTATAATTGATTGCATCATAAATTCTTAATTAATTTAGTTATGTAATGTGATAAAATATTTGTCATTAAAAATACAAGTAATTGTGATAATTCATTAAAGTTGTCACTAAAAAACACTTGTTGTGACAATATTAGTGGTCACAAAATATACTTTCAGTGCCAAATAAGTTTATCACAATTTCTATTGATAATAGTATCAAAAACTTGATCACTAAAAAATACTTAGTGTGATGGTCACAAAATATATTTTTAGTGTAAAAAAATCATCATAATTAATAAGGTAATTTTGTCAAATAGATTGTCACAACAAAAATGAACAAGTGTAACAATTTAAGTATAATGTCACTAATGTAATAGTGACGAGTTATTCGTGACGACAAGTGACAACTTGAAAATTTTATCATTATACCTTTTACCGTCTAAATTTAGTGCTTTTAGTGACTATTTGCTTTGTTACTAATGGTACATTTCTTGTAGTTTTTTTTCGTAATATTTTCGATTTAACTGAAAATATTATAAAAATATAAAAAAATTAACATTTTCGAACATTCTAAGTTATACATAACCGAAAATGTTATATTTTTTTTTATAGAATTTTCTATTACAATTGTTTTTTTTTATTTTACTTTAATTTTAAAATATACTATCGTATCGCATAACTATCCATAATTTTGTTCCCTTGGGAATTTTCATGAAACCAAAGCAAGTTTTGGATCTGTTGAATTAGCAATCAATGGAATTTTAGAATATTTTGACATCGTAATTCGTGTTTTTTTTATTGTGTTATAATTCTATTTAGGGTAAAATACATATCAGGGCATTCAATTATTATTTCAATTATAAATACTTATTTTTTATATTTAAATATAGTCATTCAAATTAAGTAGTGTTACGAAGGTCATTGGCTTTTAAATATTACACGGAATAGTGATAGGTTCATATATAATAAATATTTTAGTCCCTAAAACTTATGCATTTTATTATTTTAGTTTAAACTCGAAACAATTCAATAAATTTAATCATTCGTATTTAAAAAAATCTATAAATTTCATATTTTTTCTGTTAAATTGCTTGTTTTCCACCCACAAATATCGCGTCACTTTCATAGTATAATAACAATTTAACAATATCTTGTTATTGCTTTATGGTAGATTGTAGTTATCTAACTGTTGCTTCTATTTGATGGACTCGCTTGGTTTGACAGTATTATAAAGAACGATTAAATTTATGAAATTTTAAATACGAATGGTTAAATTTATTGAATTATTTTGAAACATAATCAAATTGATAGAACATATAAATTTTAAAGACTAAAATTTTACTATACCACATTATACGATTGTTTCGATTTTAATGATATAATAATCTATTTATAATAATATTATAGTTGAATTATTAAATTATAACTTAAAAATATATTTGTTTATAACCAATCTAATAATTAAGTGAACTAGTTGAGTGATCTCAGTGATAAAAGATAATATTATTCTTCTTAAAAGGATTTGGATTCGAACAATGAATTTCAAGAATTCTTGATATACCTTCGTTCCAACCCTTCCCTCTTTTTTCTAGGTTCATCGATATTGAATCAATCAAACGCATTTCTAATACTTATTCCATTTTTGGAAGGCCCTGCGTTATATTACTAGACCTCGATTTTTCATATATAAATGTGACTAATGTATCTTCTTGGTAAAGGATTTCTCCATAGTGCCCATGGATAGTTGCTCCCGGAGTTGTTAAATAAGGCTTAACCGATTTTATTATTATAGAATCAATTTGAACAATACAAATTTGACCCGATTTTAAGTGTGATCCACTTTTGATTATACATACATTTCAGAAATAAACTGTCCAAGAAATATTGTGGATGTTTCTTCACAAAAATTATGATGATAATACAATGGGGACATGTGCATTGTCATTAAATTAAGAAATTTTTGTTAAATATGTTATTTTTCTTAGAAGATATAAATTCGAATAGTTGTCATTATTTATTCTGATTTTTTTCTCAAATTTAGAAACATTAGCTAAATTTTTATTTAAAATTTCCATATTTGGAGATTGTATTATCATATCCAGCGGCTTATTTAATTGTTATTCTAAATTGAGAAATTTTACTTTTTGTATTATTCACAATGGAAAATTGTTTGACACCTTCACTGAAATGTGAGTGGTAAAAGGTTGAATATCAACCTGGAAAAATTTACAAATAAGTTAAATGAGGTCTACCATGAGGTCCTATAGAGTAACCGGCATTCCATAGTTCTGGCAAGTTGTGATCGTTCCGTTCCGACTGCCTGCAACGATCACGAGCCCCCACGTTTCCGGTAGGGCTGCGCGGTATTCTCTGTTGTCATGACAGAGTTGCTGGTGTTCATATGTATACAACTCATCTTTGGCATAGGTTGCATCCCACAACGAAAGCTTTTCTTCGGGCCATGTTGCCGTACTCTTCAAGGAGCCGTCGATGGAGAACCAGTTGCTGAGCGAGAATCGTTGTGAGCCTCTGATCCGAGAAGCACCCTCTATTGGATACCGATCTGAATGCCTCCGATCCGAACCCTGGCCTAACCAAGGTATTGCAATGGACACGTCTTTGCAGAAAAAGTGCTCACAAGAAGATACGGATTTCGTATGTCTGGATGTTCGGGGGCACGTCGCGTTGTTGTTCCAGACATAAAGACTACAGTCTTCTCCGACGGAGATTATATGTCTCCCAGTCGACGTAAAAGATGCAGACATCTGACTTCCGGACTTGGGGAGTCCTGCAACTTTCATAACTTGAGCATTGAACACAGATGGACAGAGCAAGCACAAGACAAGAGAACGATATAAACACGATTTCCGAGTTATCGAACTAGAAATGTTACCTTTAAATTTACGGACAACATCGATTCCGTCGAGTATTCGAAGCGTGGAATCTTTAGAAGTGATCAGAACTTTGTGAGGTTCATCCTGGGAGAACTGCAAAGATGGAAAGAACGCAATAAGTAATGAATTATTCGAGTTTAGTTTTATATCTCAGTTCAAATTTAAATTATTCGAGTTTAATTTTATATCTCAGATTGCATGGAACACGTTGATGCTTCTATCTTCTCTAATTATAACCAAGTCCACTACGGTTTCCATATCAATGAGGTTTGGTGTACATATAAGTTATAAAAACTGATGAAAAAGTAAATGTGAACCCTTGGTTTTGTCCGTATAAAGTTGTAGACAGATCATGAGTTAAACAGATTGATTTGATTAAAGTTTGATAAATATTCGACTCGAATTATTAATGAATTGAAACGAACTACTTAATATTTGACTCGAAAAACGAAAATATAATATATTAAGATTTTATTTTTTAAAATAAATTATTAAATTATTAAATTGATTTTTTATTTAAAAAAATAAAGTATAAAGTTTTTATGTACATAAAGTTTAGGTTTAAATATGAGTTTAAAGTTTCAATCGAGTTAAGTTTAAGATTTTTTTTTCATTTCGAGACTTTTCGAGTTTCAATTCATGATTTCGAGTTTGAGTCGAACTTAAAAATTTTAGACTCACGAGTTCTCAAGTCAAATCTAACTCTATTTTTGAATTTTTGAATTAAGTCGAGCTTAACAATATTTAAATTTGACTCGACTCGTTTACATTCCTATTCCAGTTTCCACCAGCCGTCAACGTGGACCCCGATTGCGGGTTTGAAGAGACAATGAACGTGTCTTGTGCGGGAAGAGTCATCTGGTGGAGCCAAAGCCACCGAGTTTGTGTTTTGGCTTTTCTTTACTTTTAACGATTACGTTGCATATCTTTCTTCCTCTAGTTATGTATTCATCATTGGTTTTACAAGGATTTTATCGTTTTGACAAAAGTGTAGTAAAAGTTATTATACATTTAAAAAAAAATTAATATGATTATCGTATTATTTTTCATTTTAATGTGATTCTTTAATTTAAAAAAATTTAATGTGACTTTTTGATCAAAGTATTTACACGACGTAAGAACTACTTAAAATACTAGGTATATACACGGCGAATTAGTAGCCATTCCTAGGTTCCCATGTAGGCCATATAAGCGTCGAGGAGTAATGAAGCTTGATTTCTCAACCAAGCGTTGGGTTGAAGAGTTGAATATCAAAGAGATGGTACCTCCTGATCTTAGATTCTTATCAAGTTCCCAATCTTTGGGGCAAGAACTATCAGGTGATCATCATCATCTCCATGTTTATCTCTATTCAAAAGGCTGCAACCTTGTTGAATACAAACCTGGTCGGAGTCATTTTATATTGATTGAGCCTCCTCTAGGGTTGAGGAATCACGTGACAAGCTTAAAAGATAAATATATTATTATGTTTACATTTAGATATTATCAAGCGAGTGATGTCTTCTTTGTACCATATTTAGCTATGATCATCATCATCATCGTCACTTGCTTGATCATAGCTAAATGTAAACATAATAATATATTTTTTAAAATTAATTGCTTCTGGCTGTTAATTTTGTTCCAAGTATTTGTGTTGGACATATGTCAGCAAATTCTCTACTTTGTATGGTATCGAGTTCTGCAGCAACAGTGTGGTTTCTTCCATTGCCATTGTTGGTGTCATGAAACCAACAGTCTCTTCACTGGCTGCTAAGCTTATCACAGGAGTTTGCAGAATTGCTAATCTGAAAAGTGAAACAAATCGTCATAATTTGCTTGTTTTATCATTGTAGATCGAAGTCTAATTGGGTCGAAGAAGAAGGGCTAGTTAAAATGGTCTAATATGGTTAAATAATGTCAAAATATTTAGATTAACATGCCACATCAGTTTTTCGTCACTCACTGTAACGACTGTTAACGTCAAGTGATCAATTTTTAACGAACGATAATGTTAGTGATTGATTTGTGACTTTTAAAACATGAGTAGTGAAAACGAAATTTACTCAAATATTAATAACCATTTACGTAGTTTACCCTTTAATCTTGCTTCCTCTAGTTATGTATTCATCATTGGTTTTGCAAGGATTTTAACCTTTTTTTTAAGAATCACGACTTCTTTCTTTTTCGTTCTTCCAAAGGGTTAAAAACGACTAATTTATAAAGTCATTGAACCGGCCCAACCAGCAACCAGAGCCGTATGTATTATATGTACAGAAAGCAAACGATCGGGATCATTCAATATGACAATAGGAACATAATACAAAACTTATGAAAATAGCTCTTTATCAATGAAAAATAAACCCTATGTAACTTGATTGCATTAAAGTGCCTTCCCTTTTCGGTGATTCTTTCGAAGAAAGGACTAATATTTGTTCTATTCTATTAGTAATAAGGGAAGAATTCGACTCAAAAGAAGAAGAAAAAAAAAAGATTTATTCTATACATGATAAGTATCACTATGCAATAGGAGTTGATCCTATTTCTTTTTATGAATGAATGCATCCCTGTTTGTTCATTATTCAGAGGATCTATCAGTAAGAATTCTCTTTCATTCATTCATTCTGTCTTTCTTTATCTTTATTTTTATTTTCTTCTGATCTAATAACAAGGTCATATGTAAAGTAGTCATGATGTTTGATTTGTAGGTTTCCTCCGATCCACCGTCAACACTCCTCTTCTACTCCTTTTCATTTTGAAATTCTCACTTGAATAAAAAAGTAATAATAATTTTGAAATTCTCAGGCAATTCAATAAATATTTATTGGTTGCTTTCTTCATCTTCTATATTCATTAATATTGGGAGAGGTTTTTGAGGATCTCAACTAGGTTTTTCAGCAATCTAATCGGGGGGAGAGAGAGAGAGTACTTTCAGTTGGTGCCGAAGCAACGCGGACGGAGATCAGACGGTGAGAAACGGCGGCGGTGAACAGTGATCGGTGTGTTCAAATGTTTATGCTTTTAACAATATTATAATCATATTTACACATCACATATTATGTGTTATTGATGTTGATGAATATACAGTGATGTTTTTGAAACAATCTCTATTTCCTTGTTGTTAAAGGGAGGGTTAATAGTATTAGAGTTATAGTTATCTTATTCAATTTAAACCATTTTTTTTAAACAATTTGTTGAAAACTCAGAATTTGTCAAATTGTGGAACACTTGAAGCTTTACAGAGTAGGATGGATATCGTTGCGGTTGCTGCTGGCTCTTTCAGAGTATCCGGTGAGGGACAAAAGGAAGTTCAAAGTATGGTTTTACAAAACAGAGAAAATGAACAAAGAGATTGGTCTGAGCTTCCCCATGATATGGTTGGGTACGTAGTGGGGAAACTTTATTGGTCGGATCAGATCCGAATGACTGCAGTTTGCAATAGTTGGCAACAGGCAACCCTTGGGTGCAACATTCCTACCATTGACAAAGCTGCATGGCTCATGACATACCGATGTTTGCAATCACACCCAGATAAGGGATTGATCGTTGAACTTAAGCTTCAGGACACATCGTTGGGCAGAGTGATAGACATGTCCAAACACATTGAGGGACAATCCTCAAATATCTTTGCGTAACTAGTCTATATGGTTGGGTGCTTTTCAAAAAACCTGTCTCTGTGTATAGTCGGAAATGCCTCTTTTTGTTGTACTCCCCCTTCACTGATGAGGTTATTGAGCTGCCCACGTTGGATCTAGGTTACCCTGTCATGTACTACCTCGTAACGGCCACTTTTTGCTTGAGTTCAAAAGATTCAGAGTGTCTTGTTTTCAGTACGCACGTATTTGAAAGACGCAGTCGGTATCAACACTTGTCGACCAGGAGACAAAGATTGGAAGACCTACAAATTCTTACAAAGTGGTCCAATTAACTTTGTTACTTACCCGTTGAGTGCAACTTATTTAGGCGGGTGTTTTTATTGAGTTTTTGCTTGTGGTGCTCTAGGGGTATTCAATCTCAGTCGTCAAGAAGGGGAACTACTTGCAATAAAGTGGCCGGACCCGAGCTCTAGTTATATATGCGGCGAATTGGTAGTCATTCCTAGGTTCCCATGTATGCCGTTTAAGCGTCGAAGAGTGATGAAGCTTGATTTCTCGACCAAGCGTTGGGTTGAGTAGTTGAATATCAAAGAGATGGTACACCCTGATCTGATATTTTCATCAAGTTCCCAACCTTTGGGGGAAGAATCATCAAGCGATCATCATCATCTCTATTCTTATCTCTATTCAGAAGGCTGCGCCTATGTTGATTACAGACCCGGTCACAGTCATTTAATATCGATTGAGCCTCCTCTCGAGCATGTTTTGAGAAGACATCACTTGCTCAATCATAGCTAAATGTAAACATCATAATATTTATCTTTTCAACTTTTAAAATTATTTTGCATCAATTGATTCCAAGTTATTTTTATTTTTCTTGTATATCTCTGAATGAGTAATTTAAATCATTAGACTCTCTTTTCGAAATCTTTTTCACGATCACTAGAATTCTGAAAATGATCAATCTTTAGAATCTCTCACACTCAACAAAGCTTTATATGCAGCAGGCGCACACTGCAGCTTCCTTTAGTTATTCTTTTTCATGGCCTTGATTATCATTTTCTTCCCAAGAAAAGAAGCTCTTGATTTACTTTTGGCTGGTAATTTTGTTCGAGGTATTTGTGTACATCTATTTTTTATTATAATCAAACACGGGTATGGCATAATGATTCTCTGAGGTCTCTCTCTATCTCTACATATATATAAAAAGGTTTAGAAAAAAAATTGAACACTCATAAAAAGCCAAGCAAATAGATACCATTAAAAGCCATCTTCTAGTCCTTCAAGAACTAAAGAAAAGTATGTTGACATTGCCTAGTGCACTCCTACATACTACAAAGCTCAAAATAGTAATAATAATAACAGCACAAACACACTCACCTTACTCATAAATGCCCTCTCCATTTATAAGGCTTTGCTGCATGGAAAAAAAACATCATCCCTTTATTCTTCGATGATATGTTAAAAGACGATGCGATGATTCCCACATTTTTAACTTGCATTTTCAGACTGGATGCGAAGAATCACATTCGCATTCGCTTTACATCGGTCTCGGGGACACTCACATCACCACCGTCACCCCTTTCGGAATGAATCGTTTGCCCCTGCATGCACGTTATGGTAAGTGGTCAATGGCATCATGAAATTGCAGGGTAACAGAAAAAAAAAACGTGGAAAAAACTAGAAAGTTAGATTCGATCAAACTACTTTCAATTAGAAATGCATGCTTTTGGTGACTTTCAACATGGAGGTCGAAGATACTTTTTCTCGAAATATTCGAGTTGAACATTGTAATACACAGACGACAGACTCAATGTAATAACCTAAATGTTTAAACCCAGAATATGCAGTACGAAATGTTGAAAGCATTGCCGAAACAGTCAACTATATATGCATGCAGCTTGAAAATTGTGTTTAAAAGGTTTCCAGATTCTGTTATATGTCATTAGAACTTACACTTTCATCGGGGACAATGGCGTATCGCTCAGTTGGAGAAACCCAGGCTTTACCTGCAAATAGAACAAAGAATATTAACTCATCAATGAAACAGAAAGCAAAGCAGGAAGGGCGTCTAATGCAATTACACAGCACCTGACAACGGATCAAGCTTTGAAGATTCTATCTGCTGCCCACTCGAACCATCAAAACTTAAAGCCTCTATAATCTTTGGAAGATTCCTGAAAACAAGAATCGAAAATGTGAATAAACAGCAGAGTGTTCAGAGTTTCCAAAAAAGCACATTGAGAGAAAAAACGTCTGAAAGGTACTGCATTTAAAACTGACCGAGAATAAAATATAGCGAGCAATACATGTTTGAATTAGAACCAATGGACAAGCACAATAATTCAATAAAAGTTAGCTCTCAGTGCTGTTTACTCTAATCACTCTAGATCAAACCTGTCTCCTAATAAGAACTTCCTTAATCTAATTCAAAATTTCATGATTACAAATCTCGGGTCCAGAACCTTAGAGAAAACAGACATCAACTCTGCTCGGAATATACTCTCAAGGAACTACACTTTTCTCACTCATATAATCAGTTCAAAACCCTCCACATTTTCAGCACTCTCTAATTATTTTTGTTAGTTTCATTGTTTTAGATTTATCCCTACATGTTATCCTTAGAGCTCATCATTCTAATCAAGGATGAAAACATCCACTGGTCATCGCTTGTCTAAAAAAGAAAATGCTATTACCGGTCCACTGATTCTCCATGCCCGAGCTGTCCATTTGTACCCCTTCCCCAAGAGAAGACATTTTGCTCTTCGGTAATAGCAAGTGTATGCCTCCACCCACATGAAACCTGAACTACTTTCTGCCAAGTAAGAAACATACACATGAGAAGAGACCGCTTCACAAATCACAACTATTATAGGATTCCGAAATAACTGAAACCAATCTCATCAGTTATCTTAACATTCAGAAGTTACAGAAATAGGAATGTGCCTGCTCATAAGGAAATTTAACTTGCACTGGAGAGCAATGATCAGTGTTGTCACCAACCCCGACCTGTCCAAACTGTAAATGAGGTAGAAAATTGAAACAATATAAGTTGGACGACAGATACTGCAGGTAGTAAAGCATGGACAAATCAAACTAAATGAAGAAAATGCACTAATTACTTATCAGACCTTTGACAAATATTCATAATCATGAAGTTAGTTAAACATCTCATAAAACCTCAAGACACATGCACCGGTAAATTTTTATCCTGCAGACAAGTCTATCATGTGTTTGGATAATTGTTAACATAGGTATGGTGAAAATTTTCGAAGTTTTTCCATGTATTTGTAGGATTGTTGGAGGTCATATTCCTATGTCAGATGTCGGTACTTCAAAAAAAAATGAAGAATCAGAGCAAATATTGTCCATCTGCATGTACGCATGTCTACCAAAATTGAAAGATGCTTAGAGGGAGTAATGCCTCAACTAAAATACATATGAAAAGGGCTCCAGGTTCATGATTAATGTTTTTGCAAGCAAATTGACTAATTCTGCAACACAGTGATAGATGCATTTCAAACATATACAAGGAAAATTGAATTTTTTTTAAAACCTTGTTCCATCCCCAGCCATAGAGTTTTCCACCAGAAGTGAGTGCCATTGTATGTCTCCATCCACCTGATATCTAAAAATATTCAAACCAAAATGCAACAGAAATAATTTCAAACAACATATCCTGAAAAGAAAATGGTATGATACTTCCCACAGAATGACTAATGAATAGATATGATGGAAAGAAAATGGAAATATGGAATGAGGTATAACATGCATAAGATACCATGAAAAAGAACAACTAATGAGGCATTAACATTAGATAAGCCTAAGAAAATGGTACGATACTTCCCACAGAAAGTTCTGCAGGGGGTGGGGGTGATGAAATATGATATCGCCAGAATAATTCTACCTGGTATAGGTATATGATTTTATACTAGTTCTAAAAGGTTAGAAGGAAACTAAGTTGAACTTAAAGGCAAAACAACGCACGCAACAATGAAAGTAGTCACCCCCTTGTAAATAAATAGCAAAAAGAAACATCACAGACTGTAAACTCCCAACTACCTGATGCAGAACAAGGAGGGAAAACAAGGTAAAATAAATATCAAATGAAAAACTAAGAACCGAAGAAAAAAGGAAGGCAAACAGGTAGTATAATCCAACACTGGAATAATAACCCATCAAAAGCCATGAAACCTTGACATGAACTTAATTTCCAAAGAAAGAAACATCGCAGATTGTAAAGTGGAACTGTTTCACCTGCTTAATAAAACTGTCAGCTAAAGCTTCCACCTTATGTGGAACCAGATGATCCTCAAAGTTCCCATGTCCCAGTTGACCATATTTGCTCCATCCAAAAGTGTATAATTCACCAGCATCAGAGACTGATATAGTATGTCGCCATCCACAAGCAACCATATTCATCTTCTCTCCCTGCAATAAAAAATTCTTACTACAACAGAAAACACGGAAACAAAGGGCTTTTAGTTTGAAATGACTAACGCTTAACATATTGGTCCTGCCATTTTTTCCACAAAAAATACATGTTCTTGAATGAGTATTTGCAGTCGAATGTTTTTTAGAAAGTCAACTCTTTTTCAAAATGCCACCATGTTGCTAGCATATTCTTCAATGGAAAGATGGGATTTTGCCTGAATGGTTTACTTTATTATTTCCAAAGTTTGAAATTTGTTATCATATGTATAAAATTATTCTTGGTAAATGTTTGGCTGATAAAATGCTCAGTCTAGGAAATAAACTTTAAATATGATTTATCTTTATGCTTTATAGTAATTCAAGATTGGATCCATGGCTTATGCTTGTAAGTTTACTCTTGATGATCATCTTGATGAAATATAATCAATTCTTGATTCATCTGTTGTTTTTGTCAAACAGATGTTTATATGATTGTTATTTAGAACTTTTAAACTTCGGTGAATGAATTACTTAGTATCTTAAATCATAGTTGTTTATGGCCTATAATAACTTGTATTAACATAATTATTTATTTTATGGTGACATTCCTTCTCACATTAAACTGAATGATGAAGATGAATATGCATCCCTTAAAACTTTTTATCCATTCAAGGCTGTCAAAGATTGTTTTATTTATAAGAATCGGAGGTCTCGTTAAAAACCCCCTTCATAATTGTGTAAAAGATTGATATATATGACATGCTTGATAACATTACCTTTAGAATCACCTTTTAGTCAATTAAGGTGTACTATGCTACATGGCCTATAGCTTAATTGAATACTTCTTGAAATCAGCATATAATTTGAGCTTAAAAAACAATTTTGTTTCATTCAGTGTCTTAGAGATACATCTACTAATGAAAATCTTCTAAAATGATTTTCCAAGTCTATGAAAGGAGAACTTCAGATAAGCATGAAAGAACTCATTTCAAATAAAAGCAAACAACGTATTAGGGCTATATTTTTATGTACCTTCAAGAAAAAAACTTAGGGAAAAATAGACGAAATAGTTTAATATTAAAAACAAAATGAAAGAGCTGATACTTTAAAATACCATGGGAAATGGGAAAAATTAAAGCAGCAGATGAAAACTTTCTGAAATAATGTAACTTCATATAGATTGCATTCAACCTTAAAACGAGATGTTATGAGTTATCAGTCTTGCATATTTATTGTGGATAATCAAACATCTAAGCCTAAGTTAATGACTTACACTGAGAGTAGAAACCTTCTGTGGAACTAAGCGATCATTTCTGTCACCTAATCCCAAGTTTCCATACCGTCCCCACCCCCATCCATAGAGCGCACCATCTTCTGAAACAGCTGCAGTATGCTCAGCACCAGCAGCAACCATTTTGATGGAAATACCCTTTAACAGACATAAAGTACAAGGTGATAATCACTTCAACACATTGTATATGAAACTTTTAGCTTGATTAAAGCTTCAAGAAATAATTCTTCTTTAGGTTGAAGAATGAAATTAGACAGAAAGTTCAATTTAACTAATGGTCGAACACATTACAGAATTCCGAAGTTTTCTTTTTTTGGCAAACACATGCTATAACAGGTTTCCTTCACATAATCACATATTTTTCATCATAAAATCAAAAGAAACTGTCAAATCTCTCTCATCTCTGGATAGTATCACATGCTAAATGCAACTTCCAATTTGTTCAAATAAAAGTCCTACATTCTTGAATCTTGACATCGAAAAATTTAAAGTCTTATAGAATACAACTTTTGAGCTTAAAGCAATTCATAATATGATTATAATGAAGGTCAACAAAGCAGGGAACCTGGATGCAGAGGTTGGCTTATTTTAATGCTAAAGTACAAGCAACAAAAAATGGAGCCTTAGATGAATATAAGTTACAGGACAATCTAATAACACACAATACCTGAAAGGCTTGAATCTTTTGAGGCACAAGAGAGTCTTCAGTGGTTCCAAGACCAAGTTGACCGTTTTGGTTTCTTCCCCAACTTCAATTAAATTCCCAAAATGAAATGTAAAAAAATGTTAAAATCAATCAGTAATAAGAGCAATCACAAACATAAATCTAAAGAAGCAACTGCAAAACTTTGGGACAAACTTCTACATAAATTTAAAGACATCAGACACATGAAATAATTTTGTAAGACATAAAAAAGAAGAAATATCTTAAAATCAAACCAACCTCTGCACCTCGCCTTCCATTGTCACAGCTAAACAATGGCTGTCCCCGCAAGCAATTTGTTTTATCCTCAGACCATGTAATGCTTTTATTGGTTGAGGAATGAATAAGTCACTAAAATCTCCATGACCAAGTCTTCCAAAGTCACCCCTGGCATCAGTGACATTTAGAAATATGCATCTCAATAGGGTTGAAAATAGAAAAAAAAAACTTGAGAAAAGGAAAACATTGCACTGTAGTATAAGAAATGTTACCGTTGGATGTGAGAACTCAAAATTTACTACATTCTGAGAATATGATATACGTGGTAATATTAGCTCTACGATTACTAACAGCTGATTTAAAATCCTACATGAACAAGCAAAATGGATAGAAACAGGGATTTAAATAGTGTCCATTCTCGGAAAATTTACAAATCGATTCATTTTCCAAGTTCGAAACAAAATGTACAAATCTATTTTCCTCCATTAAGAAACATTTAAACCTAGCAATCACATAAGCTATTTTGCTTTTAAGAGATTGAAAATTGAAAGAAACAATTTTTGTTCAATGTCATAGCCAACTTCAAACCCTCTTAGAACTCTCATGCTTGAAATCATGCATCAACTAAGAGAAAGTTCCCTTAAATAATAAAAGGAAATACAAGGAAATCTAAGAAACTGAAGAATAGAGAACTTTTTTTTGATAAAAAGGGAGGCCTCGTTAAAAAACCCCTTCATAACCGTCAAGCTACAAGAGTGGCTCAACGGACATTCGAAGGAGACAAAAGGTGCCTCAAAATTTTATTGCACAGATACCAAGTACAAGAAGAGTACAATACCACCAAACACAACCTGCCTACCACCTCAACAATGCACAACATTAAACTACATAAACACAGCAATGACCAAACCCAACTCAAGAAAACTATATCCTAAAAACAATCAACCAAACGCAAGCATAACACAATTGACAAATATAACCAAAACTTCCCCAAATACAACAAACTCAATGCAACAAATATATCCCAACCAATTAGCCTATCCCTAGCTTAGAGAATTCATCCGTTTCCCAGTTAGCTGCTCTCAACACATGCCTAACAATAACACCTTTATCAACCACAATCGAGGCGATATCTTTAACTATGGACAAGAACAACAGGGTGGTGGTAGCAGGATTCTTGAACCAATCCACAACCACAACACTATCAGATTCTAAAATAAGCCTTCGATTCGCCAACATCAATTCTGCTGCCACCACCCTGTTGTTCTTGTCCATAGTTAAAGAATTGCCAACTCTCTTAATTGCCATCAATTCTGCCAGAATTGGAGGGCAAGAATAGAGAACTTACCATCCCCAACTATAAACTTCCGTGCGAGACAATGAATATGCAGTCGTATGATCAGCTCCACAAGTAACAGATAGTATATCAAGTCCATCTAATGCACTCAATTGTGTCGGCAAAAGTCGATCTTCCGCATCACCATGCCCTAACTGCCCATCCTCTCCTCGTCCCCATGAGCAAACAATATTTCCAGCTGTTTGATTATCAAGAACAAGAATATAGATTCAAGTAGAATACATTATACATCCTTGAGATACACAAATAAAGCCTAAAAAAATTACGATAAATCTAAAAATAAAGAAGCAATAAGACAATACTATTTATGACTTAAGCTCTCAACTAAATCTTCAGCACCGTAGAGTACAACAATAACAATGTTGTTTCCATACACATATGAGACATTCTATGAGTTACTAAGATCAGGAATGGCGGAACATCATGGTTCCAGGAAAGTTAAATTAGTTTCTTTTGTAGTCAAGTGGCCTGCAATATCCAAAGCCAGGAGCAGGATACAGGCCTTTGAAGGGAATAGAAAGCATAAAAGCTAAACTCAACTAAATCTTCAGCACCGTAGAGTACAACAATAACAATGCTGTTTCCATACACATGCATATGAGACATTCTACGAGTTACTAAGATTAGGAATGGTGGAACATCATGGTTCCAGGAAAGTTAAATTAGTTTCTTTTGTAGTCGAGTGGCCTGCAATATCCAAAGCCAGGAGCAGGATACAGGCCTTTGAAGGGAATAGAAAGCATAAAAGCTAAGATCCTATGTTGCTCAGACTCTTCGTGTTTCTTGATGTATTTTGTGCCCAACACTGTGCTTGAAACTTAATTTCGATGCGGATGTGAGAATATGACCCTCCTAATACATGAAAAGCTTAGAAAAAATTGCAGAAACCAATACTAGATACAATCTGTATTGGGCACTCACACCAAGGTCCAAATAAAATAGCTGAGAACCAGAATATAAGGAGCAGTGACGCACCATAAACTCTTAACGTTCTTCACTAATCATAAACTGTGCATTATTTGTTTCCCTACAAAGAAAGAATTAATCCAGACGAAAAGCTTTTTCTCTGTGGCATAAGCGAAAGGGAAGTATCGGATCGGTTTATCCACATTAAAAACATACTATAAATAACTTGACCACAAAAAAGTTTCATTTGTCAAGTGTTCAACAGTATAAAGTATACAGTAATTGATGTCTTAATAGACCAAAGTCAAGGAGATATGAAGGAGAACTGCTTTCGAAGAGGTAACGAACTCTAGATCTATGCTGCTCCGACTCTTATTTTCAACACAAAATTATGGGGGATACTAGTGACCTCCAAGGATTCCAGTACATAAAAAAACTCGAAAATAAAAACAAGCCATACTCGTAGAAGACACGAACCCATATCCGATACTTGCCCAAGTTAGAGTATCATAACCCTAGACAATGTTTCAATTTCTCATTGCAACATAAAAGTTATCTTGAAAGAAGCACCTTTTTTTCTTTTCTAGATTCCTATTCAAAAACGTAATGCAATGGTTTACTCACATGGGAAAAATCAAGCATGCAACCAATTACTGATATTTTTCCAACATTTAACAGTATAGATTGGCCTAAAAGTCAAGAGATAAGATAAGAAAAAGTCCCACCACGTTGAAAACCAACATAACTCGAGGAATGCTAATAATCAGAAGCAGAAGAATCAAGTGACAAGGAAAGCTAAAACCAGATCACGATACAAAGGAGCAACACAAGAAAAATCTACAAACTTCGACTGATCAGCACAAGATATCCAGTTTTAGCGAATTCAATAAGCAGAAACATAAACAAAGCAGCTGAAAACCAATGGGAGAAAAAGGAAAGGGCGTAGTACATAGAAGAGCAACGGAGTGGCTAGCACCAGCAGATATGAAAAGAACCTGACGAAATGGACCGGTGACCTCGCTCATACTCACATCCTCCGCTTCCGCCATTGCTCTTCACCCCCACAAAACAAAACAAAACAAAAAATCTCTCTATCTATCTATTGAAGAAAAGAGTAAAGAGATGGTTGAAGAGAGAGATTTATGAGGGGGTAATAAATGAGGGGGTATTTGTTTGAAAGTTTGAATGAGAATTAGGAGGATAATAATGGTGATGGAGATGGAAATGTAAAGGAAAGTAGTAAATAGGGGAGAGTGGGGAAAGGGCTTTTTGTAGTGTGACAGAGGGAGTACATGTGCATTATGAAGACGGGTCGAAGGGAAAGGCTTAATATACTATTAAAAAAATGCGTTAATTTTAATAAATTTGATAAAAAAATTATCATAAATATTATTATTTTTATTATTTTTATTATTATTATATATTTTATCGATTTTATTAACATATCCGATAAATTACTATTATTTTATTTTTTATTGATTTTATTATTATTGAATACTTTATTGTAAATATTAAAAAATATTAATATTTTAAATAAAAATAATAATTTTTTAAATAATTTTTTATTATTTTTATAAAAAAATTAATAATAAAACCAATAAAAAATTTTTAACCGCATATTAAAACTGTGACACGATACCATTTCCATAGATGACGGGGCCTCTTAGAAAACGATAGCTTTATGTTTATACCAAATGTGATGAAAATACAAGACGTAACTAGACCCTATTTTCTCTCTCCTCTGTCATCTCTCTCTTGAAATATCTTTGTCGACATCTACCCATATTCATTTATTCGAGTGTTTCTACTGGTAGAATATATTATTCCTCGCTAAATATTACTCGTTTTTATTGTATTCATTGAATTTTCGAGTGGCTTCTATTTTGATTTATTATTATTATTTTCATATGAAATGGTATTTTTTATTATTATTTAATATAAAAATAATTTTAATATTATTTCGAAGTGGATAATAATCGATGATTACTTTAACTCTTTTAAATTTAATAATAAAAATATTAATTTATTATTTATTTTAAATTACATTTATATTAAACAATAATAATAAATATCATATCATAATAAAATAATTCAAAGTGATCAAAACAGAAATAATTCGAAAGTTTAGTGAGTAAATTAGAAAAAATTAAAAATATAATGATGAAAATAAAAGAAAATGGAGATATAAAGTAAAGTTCAATGAAAAATAGTATAATTTATTCTCTTTATATTTAGATGAATTATACATTGGATATATATATATTGAAATTAATGTGTTCGTCTTAAATATATGATTAGAGATAAAAAAATTTGAGGATATTTTTATAAGATTTATAATATGAAATTAATGTTTAATTATACTATTCCTTTAACGTTTTAACAATATAAAATATAAAAAGATTTATAATCATATATTAACAACAGTTTAAATTAAATATTAATTTACTAACTGAAATATGATATAATTTGATCACTCTTCATCATTAACATCACTCAAACATCGCATTCTTACAACTTTAATGTCGAGTGCATTTAGCCCAATACATAGTTATTATACATCTATACTATCATACTCGATATTTACTACATACACATCGATGCCATCTCTTGATGTTCCTCCGTCAATACCACCACAATTGTACCCACAACCTTTGTTACGAACTATGTCATACATTTAGCTAACACACTACTGTAAATGTTTTAACGAAAAATGATAAGTTTAAAATATAATAATAGTTGAGTGATCATTTTATAACTTTTAATAATAATAGATTCAACAAATCAATATCCTATAATCGAAAGATCATTTTATAACGTTTAATAATCACGAGATTTTTTTCAAATAAACCCAATAATTCATTAAATTTCAATAGCATTAATAACTATATCGTTTTTTATATATTTCAACTCATCATAAGCTACAGCCCAATGAGCCAGAGCTTGCTTCATCCAATCTGCCTCGTTATACTCAAAAAAGCAATATAGACCAATCGTGTATTTTACCTACTCGACCCGAACCGAATCGAAAATTTTACATCATCTATCCTATTAGATCCGATCATATTTTTTGAGATAAAATTCGAACCCGACATGAAATAATAAAAATAGGGATTTAATTAAAAGAAAAAATATATATAGGGGGTATTGTTGCAATTAACCCTAAAAATATAAGATAAAATTGTAATTTTCTCAAACCGGGTTAGGTTAGATATTTTTCATCATAAATTCAAACTCAACCCGACCGAAAATGACCTTTAAAAAACTTGATCCGACTCTACCTGAATCTATCTTTTAAGAAAAGACTGACCCGATTAGATCAAATTAAATCGAAATCTATCGAATTCGGGTATAATGTGTATACTTAATTTTACCCTTTCCGTTTATTTATACGAGAGGAAGGGGACAGTTAATAAAGAGGCAATTGATTGCCAAGTGGACCCGTTGGATTATTACAGCGTAACTATTTTCTTTGATTTCAGTCAGTTTTTTCAACTACCAATTAGAAAACCCACCAGATCCCGTCCTTGCCCATTTTTTTCTTTGATTTCAGTCAGTTTTTTCAACTACCAATTAGAAAAACCCACCAAATCCCGTCCTTGTCCATCTTTTTTTTCTTTTTACTGTTTCGCTTCATTTTCAAACAAAAATGTTGTCCCGAAATTAGTTTTGATTTAAAAATTAGTTTAATATTAAAATAAGTGTTCAAATTATTATTATTTTCTAAATAATTATTTAAATTATTTTTTTACTCTTCTATGTAATTAATGTTACAAACGTTACCCATTTTAGTTGTCTAAACCATCAACGGAATTGATTTCCTCATTAAATGGCACACGTCACAATCGGATGATTTTGAAATTTACTTTTTAAAAAATATATTAAAAATATTATTATATTTGTAAAAAAATTAACTTTTTTATATTATAAAATAGCTCCATAATTTTAAATCTTAACATTAATATGTCGCCGTCCTTTATGGTCGCGTCCATCGTCGTCGATGTAGTCTTTGCCAACCTTCTAATTATACACTGTCGCATTTACCGTCGATTGGTTGTCGGAATCGCGTGGGATGACGTTTTTCATCATATAGTTTGCGAGATATAAAACGTCGATTCGTTGTCGATCGATCACGATTTCATTGGGGGTTTTGGTCGTCAGAGAGAAGTGAGGTCGGGTGGAGCTTCGACGACGACAAATGACGATCGACATGGGTTTAGACGATGAAATGAAGGTTTTTAAAGGTTTGGATTATTTTAAAATGTTTATGTTTTCTTTTTTTAAAAATATATAATTTTTTTTTATTTTTAAATAAAACTTTTAAAATTATCAAATTATGACATGTGTCACTTAACTGGAAAATTAACATCGTTGACGACTCGAACACCTAAATGAGTAACGTTTGTAACTTTAGGCACCGTGGTGAGTCAAAAAATAGTTTATGTACCTATTTGGGAAAAGAGGTATAATTTAAACACTTATTTTTGTATTAAGCCTAAAATATTAGATTTGTTCAATATTTTTTAGATTTGAAAAATAATTGGTTTTGAATTTTGATAATCATTAATCGAGTAATTAATGTCTAATGATATTTATATTATTCTATTTTGTATGAAACTAAATCTTAATATTAATTTTTAAAATGTAATTGTCTCCCTACTTAATCAAATAAAAAGTAATCAGTTCTAATGAATTTTAAGTTTAAAAGTCGATCATTTGGAATTAGGTTAGGAAAATATTAATTAATTAATTAATTAAGTGATGTATTATTCTAGTCGAGTTAAAAGATTTTGAATTATTCGAATTGATGAGTCCTATTTTATAACTCGGAATTGACTTAAATTTTTTTCAAATCAAATCAAATTTATAAAATTCAAGTTGAGTCAAATTTTCAGTTTTCTATTTAAATTTAATTATAAATATTTATAATATTATTCGATTTCAGTTTAAATGGTTATATATATATATATAACAATATATTCATGAGTGATTTTTGATAAAAAAAATAAAATACGAATATATTTCTTTTATGTGTAATATACATATATCATACATAACTGAGGGAATCGACTTAAACTTAAAAATTTGTCTACTAATTATTAAAACTTTTGAGTTGTATTTACAACTCAGTTTGAACTTGAATTTTTTCGAATTAAGTCGAGTTTATGAAATTACAACTTGAAATTATTTCGAGACGATTTTTTTTCAAATTGAGTCTAATAAAATAATAATTTTTTAAATTGAGTCGAATTTTATTTACAAGTGCGGTTGTTGTTGAACATACCATGGCTCTTATTGCTTCTTCCAATTCTTTAATACTATTGTTCACTTAAGATTACATGTCATGTTTATCAATGTTACTTTTAGTTAATATTTACATGATTATTTTAAAAATATATAAAAAAATAAATTTATTTAAAAAGTTAGACCAATTTAGAATGAGATTTTTTTTAAAAAAAATTGAAATGTAACTCCTTCAAATTAATAAATTGTCAATTTTTAACGTGAGTTTAACTTATCGATAAAATCGATCTATATATTATTTTAAATATATTTATATTATATAATTAATAATTTAAATTATCTAAATTAAAGTTCAACTTAAAACCTAATCAGTTTGACTAATCCATTAAGTCGACCAAACCAACCTTTTAAACCCATTTACTCTCCCTTAATTTCTCTATTAATAGTCTCCCTTAATTATCTTTAAAAGCACACACATTCATGAGATTTATTAAATTTTCAACGTGTAACCTCTACCACTATATTTTGTTTCATATCTTAGTTTAACAAATGAAATATTATTGTTACATTTAAATGGTTGTTATTTGCAAAGGTCTCAAATTCGAATATCGAAAACTGTATGATATTTGAACGATCACTTCAAATGGTTTAGAATTTTTAAAATAAATATCACCACTTATAAGCATGGTGTATTAAAAAAGAAGAAGCAAATTAAATTTTATGGATCCTCTATCAATGATCCAATATGATACTCTCGAATCCATCAGATTTTATGAATCGAATTTAAAATATTGCATTTATAATATATATATATTTAACATTTTTTACTCATGCACAAACTACACAACTTCATTACCTCTTGAAATCTCGAGTTTGAACATTGTAAATGTTAGAAATATGAACGTTCATTGCCAAAAGATTGAAAATATTTTAACAGATACTATATTGTACTTACGTGAGATGTATAAAAAACATTATTTACCCATTAAATAATATAATTTAGGCAAAAAGGTATTAGAAATCCCTGTACTTTGGGGGAGGGAATATGACTATTCTATTGTCTTTTTTATCAATGTGACTCTCAAACTTAGAAAACAAATCCAATATAACCATTTGACTAACGTTTTTTGTCGTTGACTGTTACAGTACTAGAAGGTGCAACTCATCTGTCATGTTTAAGTTACTAATTTAGCTCATCTGTCATGCCATCCATCACATTAATTTGCCACCCTGTACTACCATATCAGCATCGTAAACTGCCAAGTCAGCAACATGACGGTCAAAGGGCCACATTAAGTTTATTTTCTGAGTTGAAAGGTCACATTGAGAGAAAAATAACACGAGAGCCACATTAATTTTTTTAAAGTACATGGACCTCTGATGCCTTTTTACCTATAATTTATCTTCTCAGATTTTGATACATTTTTCAATTTTCACTATCACTTAGTAGTTAAAAGAATCGTTATTGTTCCCAAAGGTTACGAGTTCGAACGTCAACTATTACCAAAGTGATTGGACCTTCATAACATATACTACTTTATAATCAATATCATTTTTAGTCTACAATAGTTTATCATCAATAAAGTTGCAATGGAGTTATTATAAGTGTTGATAACGCCAATTAATCAATTCGTTGTATGCCAGTTTTCATTTTCAGCAGTCTGCAGGTGGTATATCTTCCTATACAATTTAAACCAGACATGGTACAAAAGAGTGAGCAGCAAGCAATTACCAGGCTCTGAATACCTATGTGTGAAACAACGATGTCATCGTGCCGGAATAATACTTCGTCCGAACACTACGTCGAACGCGCCACATCGAACGAACGAAGGATTTCTTCCAACACTGCTCTTGTATGGGCATCAAGAGGGCTTTCGGGTTTGTCTGAATGAGCAATGTTAAGGAGGTAGAGCTTCTTAGACGCCACGAAAGCTGCCGAAAGGATCCTCTTCATTCCTCCCCTGGTGCTATCCACTTTGTACTCGAACTCGTACACTTGTAAGCCTCCTCGACCCGGTCTCTCGGCAACTCCGATTACCTCGGCATCCTTTGTGCTTTCCTGTAAATGAAAAGGAGTACTGTATAAAACAACCATGTTTAATTGAACATATCTTCTAAATATTGAATAAGATGTTCAGCACATCAGATATTCCAAGCTTTGAGTCTAACAAGGAAATAATTTACATTCAAAACATTTGGAATGTATTGAGGGATAGAGTTCAAATAGCAGTATGGTGGTCGCGGTGGCGTCCGAAATCGTCATCGCTGAAAATAACGGTGTGAAGTGAAATCACACCAATAACGGGGTGTCGTGGCCACTATTTAACGGACAGCAATCAATCGAAGCAATAACATACCGCTATTATGCTATTTTATTTTATTCTTGAAAAAAAAAGTCATTTAAAAAAATCAAATTGTTTAGAAAAATTCACGACTCTGCAATGACCGTAATAATATCCGTTATATCCGTAACTACGATAAACACAACGCGACCGCAATTTAAATCCCCTAAGGGTCCTAATTGGTCAGCCGAATACCCTAAAAATCTAGAAATTATCTATGAATGATCATATTCATAAAACCAACTTTTTGAAATAAAAATCCAACTACACTGGCAGCCATATGGAAGAACAAAAACTGGTTGACATTGGATAGACTGAGGAAAATTTGTTCTCAAAGGGCCTTAACTCTATCAACATGAACATCAATGAGTTCTTTTTTTTACTCAGCAAATATGATTTTATTAAGGATTTAATCAAACAATTCCAAAACCTAAGTTGTATGCATCGTTAAAAACCTTCCTAAATCTATAGAGAAGAAAAGAGTACACACAACTAAGTAAAAGCTACGACTCGATCGACCAAAATCAATAAGCCACCCTGAGACACCCAACTCAAACCGAAAACAATGAAAATCACTTCAACCAACAAAATCAACCTTTTCACGCATACACCATGGATCTTGGGGATCAAGAAGCAGTATGACATATCTTTTGTATCACCATCACCCCAGAAGTACATGTAACTTTTGTATCTACAAATGTACACTACTAATTTGACAATTGATGCACACTTTACAATGTATTGTCCTAAATCTAAGAAGAGAAGCAAGGAGACTATCCAGGCACTGCCAGTACTACACTTTTCCATCAAGTTCATTTCTATTTATCTATCTCTCCCCTTCTTAGTCTTCACACTCAAACAACACTGTGCTTTCTAACACTAACCATCAAACTGTTGTTATTGACCTTAGGGGTGAACAAAATTCGATTCAACTCGGAAAAATTGAATTTTTCGACTCGATGCTAAAAAAATCGATTTTGCTTGTAATCTAATAAACTCAATTTGACTCGAAAAGCTTTTAAATTTGAGTTTAGTTATAAATAGAACTATAATAACTCATAATTTTTAGTAATTAGTGAACTAATTTTCAAATTCGACTTGAGTCCCTTAACTTTGAAATATATATGATAATAGAAATTCATTCTAATTGAAATCAAATAGTACATAACATTATAAATATTTACAATTAAATTTAATCAGGAAATCAAACAACTCAATTCCAAAATATTTAAGTTTGAGTTATGAAATAAGACTAATCAACTCAATAACTCATAAACTTTTGACTCGACTCGATAGAATATTCACCCCTACTCGATATGCAATTATTTATCTTGGTGGACACTGATCATGAAAATACAAATACATTCCTCAGAGAAAAAATGGTAATGGAGGCCATGAAAGTGATGAAAATGGTACCTTGCGTTTTTCAGCCTGTATAAGCTTATCAGCCACAAATTGAGGAGTGCCAAATTCTCCAAGGCGGTTTAAACGAACCGGGTTCACAACAACCCCGACATTGTTACCTCCCACATTCGCTTCCTCAAACAAAACAGTCGCCCCTGCTTTCTCAACCTTAGCCACCCAAATTGAAAAATTTGAAAAACCAGAAGTTTGACGAATTATAAACTTTTTTTTTCATTCATTTAAAGCATCATGCTTTATCTTATTCTTACATAAATGAAAAACGAGTACCTTGATCCAAGAAGAAGGCCTAAGCAGAGTGAAACCCTGTTCATAATCTACGTATCTTTCGAGCTCCAGATCTTTTGCAGGCAGAGCTTTGGCATTGCGAGGCGAAAACCCAATGAAGACGAGGGATAAAGCTGAGGAATTAAGGCTTCTCTTGGTGAGGGTAAGTGGAGATGGCAAGGTATCTTTACTGGGAATTTTGTTGCTTCCATTAAAGTGGTGTTCGAGAGCTTTGGGTATGGAAGAAGGGAACTTTGGAGAGGAACGATGGCAATGGTTGTAGTGTGGAAGAAGGCAAATTTGGGAAGCCATTTTAGTGAACAAGAAGCAAGAAGCTATTTTTCCGGGATAAAACTGAACGTTCCTAGTTGGTTAAATTATGCTTTAATTCTCTTACTTTTCCGTATATTTATAATTTGGTCCTCTACCTTTTATTTGACTAGGTTTTAACCCTTTCATTGTGTGGTCCTAGTATGGTAAAAAAATGTCCTAATCAAATATTTAAGATTGTAGACTTTCGTTATCTTATAATAAAATTAAGGTAAATTACGTATTTATTAGTTAAACTATTATTTTTTTCATTTTAATATTTAAACTTTTAATTTTTTTAAAATCATACCTAACGTTTACATTTCATTTCGTTTTAGTGCTCGTCCTTAAAAACTTAACCTGCTTAGTACCTAAATTATCAATTTTGATCCGTTTTAGTAGCTAAACTTTCAATTTTTTCAAAACATAAAGTTAAATTTTGAATTTAGTACTAAAATTAAATAAAAACTAAAATTTTTAACGAGCATACTAAATGAAACTAAAATTAAAATTTATATAGATTTTGGGAATATTAAAGTTTAGATATTAAAACAAACCAAAACAAAACATTTTAGTTGATTAAATTATTCTCCGAGTCCCTTACTTTTCCGAATATTCAAAAATCAGTCCTCTACCTTTTATTTGACCAGGGTTTTAATCCTTTTATTACGTGGTTCTAGTAAAAAATTTCCTAATTATACATTCAGTTCATCTAATTAAGATTGTAAACTTTCATTATCTTATTATAAAATTAGGGTAAATTATGTATTTAGTACCTAAACTTCCAGTTTTGGTATGTTTTAGTATTTTAATTTTTAATTTTTTCAAAACCATACTTAACGTTTAGTTTTCATTTCATTTTAGTACCCATCATTAAAATTTTAACGTGTTTAGTACCTAAACTATCAGTTTTGGTCTGTTTTAGTACCTGAAATTTTAATTTTTTTTTCAAAACTTAACATTAAATTTTCAACAGAGGTATTAAAATGAAACAAAATATTTTTTGATTAATCTGGGATAAGTACAAGGCAATATATGTTTATAAATAACTCTGAACCCTTTGACATTGAATACTCACACCCTTGACATCTATAGTGCTCGAACTCGGGTCCTCAAGAAATAACAATCATTTCTTTACCGCAGACCAAAACCGATAGTTTATGTAGCATAATTTACCCATAAAACTATTGTCTTATATTTGTATAAAAATAAAAATAAAATATTAAAACGAATCAAAATTGATAGTTTAAATAACATTATTTACCCATAAAACTATTGTCTTATATTTTGTATACAAAAATTAAATCCTTTATCTTCGTTACGAAAAAAAGAAGTTTAGCACAACCAATATAAACCAAACACGTAGTTTTTTCTTATTCTTTTTCCCCTTATAGTCTCCTCTTTGTTTTGACACAAATTTACCACATTTCACGTAAACAAAATATTTGAACACGTCTAAATTCTAACCTAGGTAAAAAAACCGTCATCAATAGATATTTCTGATGCCATTGATCAATAACATGGAACGTGATGACAAAAAAACTCATTTCATTTGAATCTTTTCTTGTGATTTTCCGTTGACTGAACAGATCCTGCGACTGGCCAAACCTACATATGGACCATCACTTTCGTTTTGTTTAAGTGTATTGTCGCCGGAGGCGGTTGCCTCTTTACCTACATGCCCACCCCTCATTCCGACAACTCGATCTTGCTTCCGGCTCTCGGGTTGTCCCCCGTCTGCATGCCTTGGATCTTCGGATTGTGACAGTGTTGTATCGGTTGACGTCGAGATTCTTCGAGTTCAAGATGGTGATTGATAGCTTGTACGGTGACGATAGTGGTAATGCCGATACGAAGACTTCTAACTTAGGTGGTGGTGGTGGTGGTATGATGGACAGAGTCTATGCAAATAATGTAAAGCCGGGTGAAAATAAAAATGGTGGTATGGCCAAGAAAGTAGTGACGAGATTGAAATTCGGTGAACCATTTTGCACGATTAATTCCAAATGATGTATGAAACGATTGCAAAAGGTTGGACTCGTGACCGTGCAAGCAGTTTTGTTTATTTTTTAACTGTAGGGAACCAAAACGAAACAAAAACATAATGTTAAGTATGATATTTTTTTAGAAATAACTAGGTGACCAAAACAGAACTATGAGAAAAGATAGGTGACTAAATACATAGTTTACCCTTTATATAAAGAGAAAGAAAAAGAGTTATGTTCGTGATTGTAGATAATTATAGGGTAAATGACACATTTAATACCTAAACTATCAGTTTTAGTTTGCTTTAGTATCTAAACTTAATTTTTTTTAAAATCATACCTAATGTTTAGTTTTTGTTTCATTTTAGTACCCATCGTTAAAAACTTAACGCAATTAGTACCTAAACTATCAGTTTTGGTCCGTTTCAGTACCTAAACTTTCAATTTTTTAAAAAACTTAACGTTAAGTTTTTAACAGGTACTAAATATACAAAAATTAAACTTTAAGTATGGTTTTGATTTTTTTTTTGAAAGTTTAGCTATTAAAATAAACCGAAACTGACGGTTTAAGTATTAAATGTGTTGTTTACCATAATTATATTTATCTTTTAAGAACCAAAGATGTTGCTTAAATTTCATGTGGAGGTTGCACCGTTTTTGCTCTACCAAAGTCTTTTTCTTTGTTATGAGAAGTGCAAATTTGATCAAAGAAAGAACTATTGTATTCTCAATATTTTTCTTTCCCCAAATTCTCCTTATTATTCTTCTTTTTCTTTTCATTCTACTTGTAATATATTAATAGCATAGGGACTTCTTTTGCAATTTCAGAATTATTATCATGCTCTTTGCCCATATCTATGGAGCATTTGTTTCTCAAAAGACAACTTTTTGAACATGTTTTTGTCATTTTTCAATATTTGTTTATTAAGAAGACGTGAATCCACTACACGATTTCAATAGTTAAAAGAATGGTTGTCATTTCCTTAAAATTTAATATTTAAATACAACGTCTACATGAGTCTTTGACGTTCTGAACATATATTATCTTATAATTAACTCAGAAAATAATCCATACCTCATTTGAAAAACTCCCTAAAATGTCTATTTATGAGACCTATACTAATAGATAGAGGTGGAAGTTCATATTGCAATTTAAAAAAAAATGAATTTGAATTAATATAAATATACATTCCATTGATTTTTATGATATCCAATAATTTTAGCATTTTTAATAATCAATACATATAGAGTTTGAATAATTTTGAGTAATTTAGTTTTTGGTGTAAACATAATTTTAATAACTTTTATGTACCAAAATAATAGTTTTAATTTAAACTTTATTTTTTATATAATTATAATTTTAATATTTTTTTCTTTATATACTAAAATTTGTCAAATCTATAACATGTTTGAAAAAATATTATGTAAAAAATATATTTTATAAACTATTATCAACAATAGTTATGGGTAAATTATGCGTTTAGTACCTAAACTATCAGCTTTAGTCTATTTTAGTACCTAAACTTTTAATTTTCTTCAAAACATACCTAAAGCTTAGTTGTTTCATTTTAGTACCCATCGTTAAAAACTTTAGTTTTTATTTCATTTTAATACCTCATTCAAATTTACGTTAAATTTTAAAAAGATTAAAAGTTTATGTACTAAAATGGATCAAAACTGATAGTTTAGATATTAGCATTAAGTTTTTAACGATAGGATACCAAAATTAAATGAAAACTAAAAATTAAGTATGATTTTGAAATATTTTTGAAAATTTAAGAATTAAAACAGACAAACTAATAGTTTAAATACTAAATACTTAGTTTAGCCAATAATTATTGATGGAGTGATGAAAAAAAGTCATTTAGGGTGCGTTTGGTTCACGGAATGTAAGATTACCAATGAGAATGTAAGATTACTAGGGAATAGGATTACTAGAAATGTTGTATTTTGTGTTTGGTTGGTTTAGCAAGAATGTAAGATTATCGTGTTTAGTTAAAGAAATAAAAAATTATTAAAATATATATTTGACCAAATTGTTATTATTATATGTTTGTTTTTTAACAAGTTTGAAAATATTTATATATTTTCTTTAAAAAATTTAAATTCATAAATTATATATATATATATATATATTTTTACAAAATTGAAAATATAAAAAGATTTAATGAAAGGGTAAAATTTTATTTTAATCCCTGAACTTCATATAAAATTTTAATTAGACTTTTTTTTTTTGTAAATGTAAAATAATTTAAGGATAAATTTATAATTTAACCTACATAGAATTTTTATTATTCAATGACAGAAGAATAATATTTTTGAAAAAAAAAATTATGTGCATTTTAGTCCAAAATGCCAGTAATCTAACGATACCTAAGGAAAGTGAGATAATAACATTCCTGGCAATATACCCAAAAAAATCTACTATTGGTAATAAAACATTACCGGGAATAAGATTCCCGGCCAATCAAACATGGGAATATGGATTCTAATCGCCCAAACTTCAAAACTTGGGTGCCTGTAATTTCATGTTTTAATTAATCAACAATAATTAACCATGTAATCCTAAATTAAATACTTCCAACACAATGATCATACAATCAACAATTCTACACGACACGACTTTGATAAATAAACTGGTTGTGGCCAATACTACAGGAGATTCCAGTTTCATATGGGAATGCAAAATCATACAGTAAATGATGGCCAGAACCACCACGCTTGGGTTTGAGGTTTGATTATCAGCAACAACCGCTCGCAGCCGCATCGGGTTGTGGCGGCTTCTGTCTGAAGATGTTCTTTTTCACACCTTTGGAGCCCTCGACCAAAAGGCTCGGAGTTTCTAGAATCTGCATCAGTTAAAAATGCAAGTTCCATGCCACAATCATCGTCCTTGGCTAAGGAAACCGTTACGTTCACAATTACGATAAACACAATCAGTTTTAGCGGTTAATTTCAATACCTTCATAACAAGCTCGTCGAAGCAATGCTGTACGTTAACGCGTGTTTTAGCACTACATTCGATGAAAAGGCAACCACATTCTCGAGCAAAGTTTA